TGAGCCAGTCTCACTGACTCCAATGCACTTACCCTGTTGCCCTAGTTACTGTATCAATCCATCTCATGGAGGGTGTATGTATACATACGTATGTATAAATTTTTAATAACGTCTTTTCAATACTTAGTCTGCGTATACTAATTTTGTTTACCTGATAATTTGAGTATAACTACTAAAGTGTTCTAATTCCCAATACCTCATAGCACTAGGGAACTCCGCTAGCTTACAGGAAGTCATTGCTCATCTTCCTTGAAGTAGCTGGTGGACTCACATCTCCTGCCTTTGGGTTGGCAGCACATATATACACACTGCACGCGCACACACACACACACACACACACACACACACACACACACACACACGCAACCCTCTAGAACATAGTAGAACTATCCCATAAAACTGCTTTACAAGGGCAGACTGCTAGATCTTTTTCGCCCAAGGTGACTGATAAATTCAAAACATCATATATTGCGGTTCAAATCCACCAGATGCTCTGCTAGAGGAGGGCAACCTCCTCCTGTACCAGTTGGATCTGATTTGATGATACACACATAAAATAATAATAATAATAAAAAAATTAAAAAAACAAAACATCATATATTGTGGCTAGCTGCTTAGTACTGACCCACTGCACCATCAGGCCTCCCCCCTTTTTCTTTCCATGATTTGTGTTGTTGTTATGTACCATTGAGTAGGACCCTACTCATAACTGATCCTCTAGTGAGTTTTCAGACAATTAATTGCATGGAAGGAGACTGACCTTCTTTCTCCCACAGAGCAGTTGGTGGATTCAAACTGCATGCCTTTGGGTTGGCAGCACACTTCCTTACCATTAGGCTTTATGTTGCTGTTGTTGTGCCATCGAGTCAGGTACAACTGTATTGACTCTATGAACAACTGATCTGAACCCTGTTCTGTCCTGTGCCATCCTCACAATCTCTGACACACTCGAGCCCATTGCTGCAGTCACTGTGCCAGTCCACCTGGTTGAGGATCTTCCTTTCCTTCAACCATCCCTCCATTTTTCCAAGCATGATGTTTCTCTCCAAGGATTGACCTTTCCTAGCAACATGCCCAAAGTATGTGAGATGAAGCTTCATCATCTTTGTCTCCAAGGAGCACTCTGGCTGCATCTTCTCTAAAAAATGTCTGTTTGTTTTTTTTAGCAGTCTCGGATGTTCAATACTCTTCTCCAACACTACAGTTCAAAGGCAGCAATCTTCTTCTGTTGTCCTTATTCATTGTCCAGCTCTCAGATGCATTGAAAGTAAATGAAAAGATCATTGCCTGAATCAGGTACACCTTAGACCCTCAAACTGACATTATTGTTACTCAGTAAATTGTAGAGGTCCCTGACTGCATGCTTTCCCAGTACAATATGTCTCCTTATATCTTGACTGTTGGTAACAAGTGTACTGATTGTGGATCCAAGTAAGATGAAGTAATTGACAGTCTCAATCTTTTCTCCATCTATCATGATGTTGCCTATAAGTCCAGTGGGGAGAAATTTTGTTTTCTTGATGTTGAGATGCAATCCTTATTGAAGGCTGTAATATTTAACCATCTGCAGCAAGTGCTTCAAGGTCCTCTTACTTTCAGGAAGCAAGGTTATGTCATTCACATAATTAAGGTTATTAATAAGTTATCCTCTGATCCTGATACTACATTTTTCTTCATAGAGTCCAACTTTTTGAATAATTTTCACAGCATACAGATTAAATAGGTATGGAGAAAGGCTACAATCCTGGCACATACTTTTCCTAGTTTTAAACCATGCAATGTTCCCGGGGAGCTCTGGTGGTAGGAAGCTATGCTGCAATTATGAAGGCATGTGGTTCTAATCCACCAGCTGTTCCATGGGCGAAGGATGGGCAATCTCCTCCCATGTGATTAACTGGAGGGTTAGCTATGGGTCAGTTGCAACTTGACAGTGTACCACCACCACAACAACAATAGTGTTTACTTGCTCTGTTTGTGCGATTGTCTCTTGGTCTAGGTCTAGGTTTCGCACGAGCACAATTATGAATTCCGGGATTCCCATTCTTCTCAATGTCAGCCATAATTTGTTATAATCCACACAAGCTCTCTGTAAGTAGAGACAATTCTACTTAGGACATCTTGATTTCCTTAATCTTTTATTTTTGTTTGTGCTTTGGTGAGAGCTACGTATCTCATATGGCACATACCAGCAACTCAACTCAAAACTCATTTTCCTCAAGCTGGAACCAACACATTTAACTCTCTAGTGGGAGAAAATTTTCCCACCTTTCTCCTTCAGAACTGCTGGTAGATTTGAACTACCAGAGAGTCATAACCTTGGGTCAAACAGTGCAACTCCCTATGGACTGTGCTATTAGAGCTCCCTGATAGCAAGTACTACTTCTAATCCTGGTGTCTGTTGGATGATGGTACACTTGCATTGAAGGTAAGTGATTATAATAACAAAATCTAAGTTTTATCAAATATCCTTCAGCATATAATAAACTTAATCCTCCAGTTGGGTTCTAAAAATGTAGAGTCAAATATATAGGCCCTTTATGAAGTATAATGTAAGTTTAAGGACTAAGGTGTATATGATTCAAGCTATGGTCTTTCCAATAATTTGCTGTGCATGTGAAAGCTGGTCAATGAATAAGGATGACAGAAGAAGACTTGAAGCCTTTGGGCTGCGAGGTTGGAAAAAGAACACTGAAAATCCAATGGATGGCCAAGAGAACAAACAAAGATGTCTTAGAGAGGGTGCAGCCAGAATGCTCTTTGGAGCTTTTCCTCACATACTTTGAGCAGGACTGATCAGTGTTTAGCTATACGGGGTTGCTACTTGAGTTAGAACCAACTTGATAATACCTAATAAAAACAATAGCCCCCAAATTTCCAAAGAGTTGGTAGTGTAGTTTACTGTCTATGCAGTACCAGCCTCACACATAGTACTTAGTAAGTGCTCTTTAAACCTCAATGATTTTTTTTTTTCTAGAAATTCTGGTGGCCTAGTGGCAAGAAGCTGCACTGTAATCCTGAAGACACATGGTTCGAGGCCACCAGCTGCTCTGTGAGAGGATGGGTTATCTCCTGTGCAATTAATGACCTCTGAAAACCTGCTGGAGGGTCAGCTATAGGTAGGTTCCAACTCTGTGGAGCAAACAACAACTATAACAATGGGTTTTAGCTGACTTAGTCCGTTGGAAATTTTGTTGTTATAAAGTCTGGTGATTTTAATTCGCCAATAGCTCTATAGGTAAAACATAGGCAGCCATAGAAAACTCACTGAAAGGTCAGTTGAGGCAATTCTGACTGACATGAGATCTGTTCCAGTATAAATGATATAGGAGCTTGGTTGTCGTTGTTATGTGTCGTCGAGTCGCTTGTGACTCATGGCAACACTATGTACAAGAACCGTAAACCCTGCGCCAAACTCACTGTCTCTGACAAACCTACCACCCTTACCCCAATAATTGAATCGACCTATTTCATTGAGGATCTTCCTCTCTTGTGCTATTCCTCCACCCTCCCAAACATGATGTCCCTCACCAAGCACTGGTCCCACCTTGCAACATTCCCGAAGTATGTCAGACGAAGCTTCAGAATCCTTGCCTCCAAGGAGCAGTCCGGATTTACCCTCGTCAGGACAAACCTGTTTGTTCTTCTAGCAGTCCACAGTGTATTCAACACTCTTCTCCAGAAGCACAGCTCAAAGGCATAAATTCTCTTTCTATCATCCCTCGGCACTGCCCAGCTCTCTGAAGCATAGCACACAATTGCAAAGACTATGGCCTGGATCAGACACACCTTAGTCTCCAGCCTGACGTCATTGCTCTTCATTACTCTGGAGAGGTCCCTGAGAGCTGACTTTCCCGATGCAATTCGTCTTTGGAATTCTAATCCAGAGATTACATTTCTCTAGTTGTCTGAATCCATGAGCAGCTCTGAGGGAGAAAGATGTGCAATCTCCTCCTGCGGGATTGATTTATAGCCTTTGGAGCCCAATGGATGGTCTGCTATGAGTTGGTTCTGACTTGATGGAGTTTGCGTTATCGATTATAAAACGTCTAGTCTGGTTGAATGTAAAAAGAGCTGCTGGTGAATTCAAACCACCAGACAGGCACCACTTGTGTATTGCTCACACAACTGGATTAAAAGCTCTAAATGGAAAGAAATAAAAGTGTTGAGGTGCGTGTTTTGTTTTCATGTGCCATAGAGTTGAAACCAATTCGTAGGTGAGTCTTCAGCAGGTTTTCAGAGGCAGTACATCTTGTGGGAGGAGACTGCCCTTCTTTCAGGAGCAGCTGGCGGATTCACACCACACACCTTTGCATTGACTGTGCAGCTCCTTACGCACTAGGCCACCAGAGCTCCTCAAGAAATGTATGTTGTTGTTGTTGTTGTGTGTTGTAAAGTCAGAACTGACCCATAGCTGATCCTCCAGCAGGTTTTCAGAGGCAGGAATCGCATGAGAGGAGATTGCTCGTCTCTTTCCCACAAAGCAGCGGGTGGCCTTGCACTGCGTGCTCTGAAAATTGCAGGACAGCTTCTTACCACCAGGCCACCAAATGTATAGTATTTATCAAATCAGGAATTTCCTTTTTTCTTGTTTCGTAGAGCGCTATAACGCATGATGATACATTTGAATGTTCATTTTGTTGTTTTGCAAGAGACTGGCACTTTTGTTACAGGAACAACTGAACCATGTAATTAGCATACTGGAAACTATTGACATGAATATTGCTTTAATGAAAGTAATTTGAAAAGCGGGCCTGGCAATGGATTCCCCGTGTATGCAGATTTGTGTGTGTGACAATGAAATTCACACAGGAAATGTACAAAGGGGAAAGATAATCTGAAAGTTATTTAAATAAAAAGAAATTGACTACCAAAGAAAGGGATTCTTGTTGGAGGAGAATGATGGGACTGCCCCCGAACAAAACTCAAAGAGATACAAACAATTTTCCAAGGACACCCATGGATTTATTGAACGAAATGGAGATCTCTTGGAAGGATTTTACCTTTGTGAGCACGGAAATGAAATCCATCGATATGGAAGTCTCAGCTGAGTCAACATAGTCCTTAATGATGCTGAAAAGACTGTTCACAAAGCCAAAACTAGTCTAGGGCCAGAAAGAAAGAGACCAAGAGAAGGATAGACATTCAGGCTTATGAAATAAATATTTGGGGAACTTAAAATTTTCTTAGCGGTATTTTTCATTCCAAGTTTATCCCTTTTGTAAAAGTAAAACTATTCATTTTCTCCACTCTTGGTGTTCATGCATACATGAATGTTGTTCTTCCTCCTCTTTATTTTTAGAAGCTATTTAAAATACAGGTGAGGAAAGGGCATTCATTTGTAAATAAACACTTAGGATGGTTACAGAGATGTTAGGAATCTGTCTACTTTATTAAATCTCCAATTCAGCTCATCACTGTCAAGTCAGCGCCTCCTAATAGCTGACTCTCTAGGCTTTGGAGGCTGTAAGTCACATGAGAGGAGATTGCTTATCTTTCTTTTGAGAAGCCTGCGGTGGGTCTGAATCTCCAGATAGGCTTTGCATTAGCAGCACGATTCCTTCTAGACCACACCACCAGAGATCTCTTTTCTTAAATAGTCAGGGAAAACCAGAAAAGGTTACCAAAGGGTAGCTGAAGTTTGTCATCTATTAGAAAGATGGCAAAGGATACTTAGATTTCTTTCTATAGCCTAAACTTCTCTGATCAAAAGATATGGTGGAAGGGAACACGGAGTACCATATTCCACAGTCTGGTACACATGGAATTAATTTAAATCGCAGGAATAGACCAACCATGAATTTTCACCATCTTCTGATGGATTTTTAAACATGGTGATACAAGCATCTTCCTTGTTTGACTTACCTGACTTAACTCCTCCAGGTTTGCAAAAAGTCTCCATAAATCCACATCCAGGAAGTATTCATGAGTTTGTAGATATTTCAGTGTATTCATAAAGATCTTTGGGGAAAAAAAGTATATTAGATTCTGCTTTTTAATTTTGAAATGTACCCTTTGAGGGAACATTAAGCACGAAACAACTGTGCATAGCTTTAGAAAACAATTTAGAAATCAGTATCTCCTGGTAGTAAGAATTTTGCTAAGTGCAAACAATGGCATTTAAACCTCATAAAGCATATTGGAAGTGTACTCTTTTGTGAGGAGTTATTGTTGCTTTTATGACTCTAAACAACCTTCCCTTTGAAAAACAATCTGCCCAAATGGATTTTTCCCCCCTATCACCTAGGGCAAAAGAAATCTCAAGCATTCTTCTCTGTCTGACAACACTGAGTGGGTAGCAAATCAACATCCATTCTGTGTTCTCATTTACTTCTTTCTCTGCAAATGACCAAAATGTTCTTTACTCAAAGAGAATTAAAAATAGACAATCAATGGGTTAAACACAAACTCACTGCCATCAAGTTGGAGCCAATTCAGAGCTGACCCTCCAGCAGGTTTTCAAAGGAAACGGAAGCAAGAGGAAATGGTAAGGGAGGAGACTCTTCATCTTTCTCTTAATTATGCTCTTTCTGAGGTTTTTTTTTTTAACATTTATTAAAATACAAAGATTTTACTAATAATGTTTATTAGTAAAATGTTTCCATTTCATTAAACTAAGAAAACCCTCAGTGCTGTGGAGCCAGTTCTGAGCTGACCCTCCAAGCAGGCTTCCAGGGGTGTAAGTTGCACAGGAGACTGCCCATAGTTCTCCTTTGGAACCTCAATTAGGTGTGAACTGACAGAGACAGGGCCTTTAGTTTAGCAGTGAAACTCCCCAACACTTAGGCCACCAGAGTCATTAAAGACTAAGGGAACTCCAAGAGAGTTCTTATGTTAGTTGTACTTGATTTGCTGCTTTCACAATGAAGAACAACTAGGCACCAAAATTCCATGAGAGGAGATTGTATTTCTCCCAAGGAGCCTCTAGTGGACTTGAACTCCCAGACAGACACTAATTTTGGATTAACTGCACAACTTCTATGGGCTACAGCACCAGAGCACTCTCAGGCTCTGACTATTGTTATATACTGCTGAGTCCGAGCCCACCCACAGCTCTGACCCTCAAGGAGGTTTTCGGAGGCAGTAAATCACATGGGAGATTTGTCCACCTTTCTCCTGCCCGGCAACTGCTGGATTTTACCTGCCTGCCTTTGGGTTGACAGTGCAGCTCCTTATCACCAGGCCACCAGATCTGACTAGAAGCTCTGAATTGCTAGAGTTTCTTCTTTAGTAAGTATATGATGACCATCTGAGGATTTACCTTTTAAATAATTTTCTAAATGACTCTGATGCCTTTTTGAGAACCAGTGAATTAGAGCGATGCCAATTTGTATATTAGGAGTTGTCTAGACGTTTGTCAGTATTCACGAATTTAAAACATATAAGAACATATCACTGCAGAAGGGCTGGCAAAATAGATTGAGTAACTCTCCTTTTGCTATAGGAGTCTTCACTTTACAGAATAATTTGCCTTCTTTTAAGTATAGTGTTCTAGTGAGTTCAAGTGACTTAAATTCAATTTACAAGCAACTTTTAGAAATGCAGGTTTATAGTGGAAAGGAAGGTGCATCTATACTCCAGATACAGTGGGACACTTGAGATTAAGGAAGTTAGTTTGAAAAACCTATGGAAGAAACAGCAGATGGAATGCTCTGTGCTGTTTACTAGGGCCACTGAGGCAGTGTAGCTTCAAGGACTAGAACTCTGTAGTAACATTATCACCTATCATCCAACATCCCTGCTTCTCTTTCTTCCCCTTCAAGCATCTTGGTTTTTCATTTCGGAATCGACTCTTGCCCACAAAGGGAAGCAAACATCACTCCCAGGGATAAGCTCTGATTGCCTTAAACTAATCACCACATTCCTCTTCAGTCAGAATAGTTTAAGGATGAACATGTGACCTAAGCCAGTTCCATCAAGTTGAATCTCAAAACTTTCACTATGAACCCTGTGAAGAGATTCCCTTATACTCTCTCAGTGTACGAACTCAAAGATGGGAGCCATTGTGCAACTTCAGAGGAAACCGTCATAGTGTGAAATAATGCCACAGAAGTCAGAGAGATGGGAGATGAAAAGAAATGGTGTCTTCATTTTGAATTTGACCCAATTAACATTGAATTCTGTTTTACTTCTGTACTTGTCGCCTGGGCCAGTGAAGTGTTTTATTACTTAGGTTAGTTTTCTCTTACTTGCTTCTGAGAGCATTCTAACTGCTATAGTCTCTTAAGTTTTTCATTTTCTCGTCGAGCGTATTTGGAATTTAAATTTTGCTGGTAAAGTACTAAGCAGTGTGACTGACAATAAATATATGTGAGAAAAAAAATAACTGACATTTGTAAAGATTTATTACAAAGATAACTAGTTGGATTCTCCCAATAACCTCATGAAGTAGCCAGAGATAGTATTGACATCCACACTTTATAGTTTGGGGCAGAGAGATTAAACTACAGCTCATAGGCAAAATCTCACCTGCTTTTGTAAGCATTTTCTTGGAGAGTCATGTGCATTTATCTGCATGTTGTCTCTGGCTGCTCTTGCAAAGCAGTGGTAGAGCTGAGTGGTTACAACAACCTGCATGGCCTACAATGACTGAAATATTTACTTGCTGGCCCTTTACAGAAAATGTGTGCAAACCTCTGTCTTAGAATATGCAGGACCAGATTTTCCTAAGGTCACACAGCAAATCAGAACCACATTCACCACTTCAGCTCTGAGCTTCCAACACAGAGCTTTTAAAAAAATTTTTTTCTGAATAAGACAGTACAAGGATTCCAAATTGCTTATGGGCTGAGGCAACCTTTGAGCAGTGTGGCCCATCTGCACTGCATTCATGAAAGGAAGCTGCTGTCTCAGGGCCAAACCAGGCATCATTCAGTTAGAAGAAAATGTGAACCCATCATGAATATGTTAACTCCCCTAGGTGTTAACATTTAATAGCAAGATATTGCATTGTTAGTGTTATCATTGACATTTGTGATAATCAGCTATTGCTGCATCACCAACTGCTTCAAAACTCACTTCACATAAAAACAAATCATATATTTCATCACTCATAGTCAAAAGTCAACCGGGCAGCCCTTCTGCTTCCAGGGTGGTGTCTTTTCTCAGTCTTAAAGAGTCCTTGGTTAATGCACACCCTTCGGCATTTAACCAGGTTTTTTGTTTTGTTTTGTTGTTGTTGTTTTATTCCCTTAAACAGCATGAATGGGATAAGGATTTTATTTTGCTGTTATCCACTACAGTTTACATATAGGTATTATTATGTATCATCTATATTCTTATTTATCAAGGCAGCATATAATAAAAAAAAACATTTAAAAATATCTTTGCAATGAAGCTTTTAGTGGATACCACATTTTGTTACCTTTCTCAAAAAGCCTTTACTTGCAGTTTGTAATGCTGACTGGCACAGCTTCTCGCTCCAAAGATGTATGCAACAGTTGGGGAATCAGAATGCTCTCTGTTATCATAGCATGAATACACTCTTAAGCCAAGTCCATCTGTACATGTGAAGGTAGTACTGGAACTCTGCCACAGCACCCTCTAGCTGACAAACATCTCCAAGCTCTCCAAAGAGGAAGCTGGAGATGAGGTGGGCTGCCTTTAGGGAGATTGTGAGCACCCTGACATTAGTGTACAAAGACAGAATGAGAATAAGGCAGGAGGGATGAGAAGTTGAATTAGCTCACTTAAAAGATGACATCCGATTCAGTTAAATTTACTCAAGAACGTACTATAGAGACAACAAATTAGTAGTTAAAAATCAACAAGACACTTTTCTAAAAGGAAGGAAGATACTCTTTTTTTTTTTTTTTTGGTTGTGGAAAAGGAAAACAAATTATCAAGAAACAAATTAAATATTCAACATTACCATCTTAAGAACTAATAAATGGTCCAAAAAATAAGTGCATTCACTCGTGAAGAGTTCCCACATGGCCTCTTGCTGCTTTCTCAGGTCTAATTGATCAGTCGGAAGTTTTAGATGTGTTTCCATGACTTCATTCCAAGTCTTATCCTGCGCATGAAGATACAAAAAGGTAAGGAGAACATTTCCTGCCCCGTCGTTTGATCTGGTTGCTATTTGCTCTTACTGTAAAGCAGCAAGAAGAAACCAGCCCTGAGCTCATGATTTTCTGCTGCAGGCCCAGCATGCTTGTTTGCTCCTCAGACAACCCAAATCAGAACTTCTCTGTGTGTGACTTTGGGAATCTAACACCCTCCCCAGGATAAAGCACGACAGTGTGCAAGATGTTCTTTTCAGTTTATGATGAAAAGGAATAAAATTGATGTTGCATTAGGTTATGACTTGGAATTTTAGTTACTTGGTGATACTCTTTGAGCTAGTTTATTATAAAAGGGCCCCTGAGCCAAAGAATCTGCTGCTGATGGCTGGAATTGATGACCACTACATCTCAATCCCGGGCAAACTTGCCAAGGCGACCTTTGATGTCATCTCCAAGACCTACGAAGATACCTGAGCCAGACTTCTGGGAAGAGTCTGTGCTTAGCATATCTCTCTATCAGGAATTCACTGCCCATCTTGCAAAGACCTGCACCAGAGTCTCCATGTAGAGGACCCAGGCTCTAGCTGTGGCCAGCACTTAGTGGTTTTTTATATAACAAAATTAAGTAAGTCAGGAAAAGAAGTGCCAAACAAACAAGTAAACAAACACACACACCACTGTGGTGCTGGTACAGTATATCTAGACCAATAAAATAGAATGGAGAACCCAGAAATCAATCCACCTTGTCAACTGATCTTTAACAAAAAGACAAATGTCATTAAATGGAGAAATGAATGAAAACATCTTTAGAAAATAGTGCTGGCCAAACTGGATATCCATATATAGAGTATGGAAATAATGTTACACCATACATACAAACTAAATGGATCAAGAACCTAGGAATAAAAGATCATGAGAAGGTTTTCTCAAAAAGTTGCAAATAGAAATACCATTTGACCCAGTAATTCCTCTACTGGGAATATATCCCAAAGAAACCATAACTGTCATCCAGGCAGATATATGCACACTCATGTTTATCGTGGCTTTGTTCACAATAGCAAAGAGTTGGAAACAACCTAAGTGCCCATCAACAAATGAATGGATAGAGAAGCTGTGGTATAGTCACACAATGGAATACTACACTGCATTGAAAAACAAGGAACTCATGCAATATTATTCAAAATGGGTGATGCTGAGTAATATCTCAGTCACAAAAGGACAAATACTGCATAATGCCACTGTTGTGGAATGGGACTGACATCAGGGTTGGGATGAGACTGGAAAAAATTGGATAATCATGTAGACTGCTTTGAAACAGATGAGGGAGAGAATAGTTTAAAAGCAATATATGATTGGGTATTATCACCATGACAGAAGTCCAGAATGAAGGTTGCATAGTGGAGTGTAGGAGGAGGTTGCGGGGTGGGGGATTGTATACCAATGAAAGCATGTTACTTTATTTTTCAAAGAGAAGAGCAAACTGGGGTAGGGGAGGAGTGGGCAGGGAGAGAAATACAACAATGAATGAATGGAAATCCAAAATCTCTGTAAACATTCATTAAAATTAATAAAATTTTAAAAAAAGATCATGAAAAGGTAAACTAGGTACAAATGTAGGAGCTCTAGTCCATGGCATAAAAAGACGTATCAAGCAGAGCCAAAAAGATTACACTAGGGAAAGATAAAATACTTAAATGAGAGCTTCTAAAATTTAAAATCTTGAATGCATCAAGAATTTCTCCAAAGGGGTAAAAAGGAAGAGCCCACAGACTAAGAAAAATAATGTCAGGCAATAACACATCTGACAAAGGACACATATTTAAAATTTATATTTGGTTCTTGTTATTTGCCTTGTTAATGTTGTGAATTACATAAATTGTTTTTCTTATGCTGAATCATCCTTTCACACCTCTACGAATCCCACTTATTCATAATGAATTATTTTTTTTTATGTGCTTTTGGATTATATTGGCTAGCTTTTTGTTAAGAATTTTTTGCGTCTATGTTCATGAGAGATGTTGCTGTATAGTTTTCTTTTTTTGTAATAACTTTCCCTGGTTTTAGTATTAGGGTTATGCTTGCTTCATAGAATGTCTCTAGGAGCATTCCTTCTTTACCTATTTTTTGAAATAACGTAAATAGGATTAGTGATAAATCTTCTCTGAATGTTTGGTAGAATTCAGCCATGAAGTCATCTGGTCCAGGGCATTTTTTATGGGGAAGTCTTTTTATGGCCTGCTCAATTTCTTCTTTTGTGATGGATATGTTCAAGTGTTCTACATCTGGCTGTATCAATCTAGGTAGGGCACAAGTTTAAAGCAATTTGTCCATTTACTCTAAGTTTTCAAATTTATCAGAGTTTTTTGTTGTTGTTCTTAAGTGTTATTGAGTCATAGACGACTCATAGCGACCCTATGAACAAAAGACCTGAACACGTGTGTAACTTTCATCGTTTCTCTAATCCACAGTGTTTCCAGAGGCAAGCTATTTCGGAAGTGGATGCCACTCCTGCTTTCAAACTTGTTTAATCAGGGAGCTCCACCAAACACTTTCCATCACGGGTAGCCATTATCACATTTACCACATCAGTGTCACAGTGTTCAGCATCATAGCAAGCACGAGTTACCTCTGCTATATAACGAGTTACCAGTGCCATACCACTTAGAAGAATGTTTGATCAAACAATTAAAATTGGTCTGAGGGCCACAGACTAAAATCACCCACCTTTGGCTTGGTGGCATCACTTTCTATCCACAAGGTCAACTGAGCTCTCTTGTTGTTTTTTGTTGTTGTTGTTGTTGTTAAGCATCGTGGAGTCATAGATGACTAATAGCGACCCTGTGACCAAAACCTGAACATTTGTAGCTTTTCATATTGTTTCAATATTATAGATTTAGTTTCCTTTGGTTTGTTGCGATGTCACCTGTATCATTCCTTAATTGAGTTATTTGTTTTTTCTCCTTTTTTAAATTTTGCCAATGGCTTTTCAGTTTCATTGGCCGTTTCAAAAATCAGCTCCTGGTGTTATTGATGGTTTCAATTTTTTTTTCTGTTTTCTATCTCATTGATTTCAGTTTTTGTTCTTATCATTTCCTTTCTTCTAGAGGCTATGTGGTTAGATTGTTATTCTTTTTCTATTTGATGGTGTTTCATTAGATCATTAATTTTGCTTATTTCTTTGTATTTTATTATTTGCCTATTGCTATGATCTGCCACCTATTGCCTTAGCTGCAGCCCAGAGGTTTTGGTACATTGAATTTTTGTTATCATTTGTTTTGAGGAACTTTTCACAATTTCATTCTTTATTTCTTCTATAACCCAAACATGTTCTAGCAGGGTGTTATTTCACTTTCACATTGATGGCTTTATAAGCTTTATTCTCTTGTGGTTAATTCTAGTTTTATAGCATTGTGGTCTTAGAAGACACTGCATTTTTTCCAATATTTTTTTAATTTGTTGAGGCTTGTTTTTTCACCTAATATATGATTAATTCTGGAGAATGTACCATACACACTTAAGAAAAAAGTTAATTGAATTTCATTTGGGTGTAGTGCTCAGAATACATCCACAAGGTCGAGTTGACTAACTGTGTAGTTTAGGTCTCTTGCATCTTTGTTAATTTCCTTTTGAGTTAACCTGTCCTTTGGTGAGAGTGGTATGTTAAAGTCTCCCACACTATGTGGTGCTGTCTATTTCTTCAATTCTATTAACAGTTGTTTTATATACTTAACAGGTCTATCATTTGGTGCATAGATGTTGGCCAATGTTATGTCTTCTTGATCTACTGTGCTTTTAATCACTATATACTGTCCTTCCTAATATTTTTTTTTAAAGATAAAATTTTTATTTTATACCTTCCTAATCTTTTATGGTTATTTTCATTCTGCAGTCCATTTTGTCAGAGATTAGCATTGCCACTTCTGCTTTTTCTGTGGATGCCATTTGCTTGGTATATTTTTCCCCCCAAACTTTGAGTTTATCTTTTTCTTCACTTATTAGATGTATCTCTTGTAGACAATATATTGATGGGCTTTGTTTTTTATCCATTCTGCTACTCTCTTTCTCTTGGTTGGTGAATTTAGTTGATTTACATAAAGTATGATTATTGACAGCCTATGTTTTATCATTGCCATTTGTTGTTGTTGTTGTTGTTGTTTCTTGTTACTATGGTCCATCCACTTTGGTGTCTATGTGTGAAGGACTTCCCTTAAATGTTCTTGTAGATTGTGTTTTCACAAGGTCTTATTTTAAAAAATTCCTTAAATTCTCTATTTTCTGCAAAAGGTATGATTTCTCTTCATATTTAATGGAGAGCTTTGCTGGGTACAAGATCCTTGGTTGGTAATTTTTTTCTTTCAGCTTTCTCTATGTGCTATCTCATTGTCTTTTTGCTCACATGTTTTCTGCTGAAAAAAATCAGAACTCAATTTAATTGCTTTTCCATTGTAGGTTACTCTTTGAGGCTGTTTAATGCTGCTTTCAGTATTCTATCCTTATCCTTTATTTTGGAGAATTTGGCTATGATATGACTTGATGTTTTCCTTTTGGGGTCTAGTGTATTTGGTGTTTGCTGAGTTTCTTGAATGTGGATTTCCTCATGCTTCATCATACTTGGGAAGTTTTCTTCTGCTACCTCTTTCACAATTTTCTCAATGATTTCCCTATCCCTCTCATATTCTGGAATTTCAATCATATGTATGTTATTCCTTTTGAAATCATCCTACATGATTCTAATGTTTGTCTTTTTTTTCCATTTTCTATTTGTCTCATCTCTGATTTTTCTTCTAGTATGTTTCCATTGAGGTTCTTGTCTTCTACCTAATTGACTTTCTTTGTGTGTGTATGTGTGTGTGTGTGTGTGTGTGTGTGTGTGTGTGTGTGTGTACCATCAAATCAGATTTGACTGGTACAGGAGGAGATTGTTCCTCCTTTTCCAGCAGAGCATCTGGTGGATTTGAACAGCACACCTCTGGGATTGCAGTGCAGCTTCTTGCCACTAGGCCACCAGAGCTCGCCCTCATTGACTTTCTGTTCCATCTCTTCTGTTCTACTTTTTGTCCTTCCAACATATTGGACACTTCTGCCATTTCAGTCTTAATAATCTGTATTGCATTTCCATGCCTTTATGTTATTTCTAGTACTGTCTTGGCAGTACCCTCTCTATCTTGTGATTGTTTTTTAAGTTTTGGTGTCTCTTTATCTATAGTTTCAATTATTTCTTCCCTATTTTGCAATTTTCTTCCAATTTGTGCAAGATCTTCCTCATCAATATATTTCTTCTGGTTCCATATCTTTGGATCATTTGCTTTCTTAGTTTTTCCATTGTTTCTTCCACCATTTGGACCTTCTTCCATTGCTGTCCAAATAACTCTTCATCAAAATATTTTCTCTGTTTCTCTATCTCTAGGTTATTCCCTTTATTTGTGACTTCCATTGTTTCTTCCATAATTTGTACTTTCATTCATAGCTGTTAAAATGTTTTCATGTCAACATATATCATCAACCTTCTTGATTCTGGGGTATATATGAGGTCTCTAATTTTCTTTGCTTTTTTGGTGGGGGTGTGGGGGGGGAAGGCTTAATTTGGTTTTTTTCACAGTGTTTGAAGCTGCTTGCTACTTTCTTGACATTATGTGAAGTTTTTCTTAGTAAGTGTTAGGTTGTGTATATTATGTCTGTGAAAGTCAGTGGTGGTTCTTGTCTTTCTAAAGTTACTAATTAGTTGCCATGTTGAAATGTTCAGTCTATGGGATGAGCTACTCACTCTACTGTAAATCCTTTCTGGGAAAATTTGCCTTTCCTAAAGTCTTTGAGGTTCTCTCTGTTCTGCACTTTAGTCCTGTAGCAATCTCGCTTTGATGTAATCCCTGACACCAACTCTATAGGCTTTCTTCATGTATGCAGTTGCTAATGGTGTGAGACCAAGTGCTCCACTCAAGCGGTTTCTCATGCACATTTTCTCCTGGAGCTTAATGTCTTCCTTCGTCTCTGGAGTAGAATGAGATTAGAGATCAGGGCTGTCAGCTCAAGAAGCTGTGTGCAGGGTGTTCCAAGTAAGTCCTTTCTCTTATAGAGAGCTACAAAAATTCTTTCCTCTGCTTGTAATTTTGAATACTAAAGTCTTTTGTCCTATTTGGTCCCTGAGATGGCCCCACAGCTGTGTAGGCAAGGATTCCCAGATGGAGGGACCTATAACCCCAGGGAATCCTCAGATCCATCTCTCCGTAAGCAATGGAGTGTGCTTGCTCTCAGTGCAGAGCCTCACTATCCTCACCTTTTCTTCTCCAGCTTGTTGTCTTCCTTTATCTCTGATGTGAAGGGAGATCAGGCCAGTGAGCTCAAACAGCTTATATGTAGAAGGTCTCACGTTAGCCCTCTCTTGCAGAGAGCTAAGAAAATTTTTTCCTCTGCTTGAAGTTCTGTATACTAAAATATCATGCCCTATTTGGTCTCTAGTATGGCCCCAGAGCTGTGGAGGCAAGGATCTCTAGATGGTGGGACCTATACCCCTGGATTTTTGTCTTCTTGGTGTTAAAATAAAATCCATATTGAAGAATGTAGTCTTTGATTCTCTGAAGTAAGAATTTCAAGTCATCTTCACTCTCAGTAAGCAAGGTTGTATCATCTTCATATTGCAGGTTGTTAACGAATCTTCTTCTGATCCTGATGCCACATTCTGCTTCACAGTCAAGATTCTCTAATGATTTATCCAAATATACAGATTGAATAGGTGTAGAGAAAAGATACAACTCTGACATATACTTTTTCTGATTTTAAACCATGCAATGTTCCCTTGCTCTGTTTAGACAACATCTTCTTGGTCTAGGTGTTGGTTTCAATATGCATAACTAAGTGTTCTGGAATTTCCATTACTCTCAACATTAGTCATAGCCATGTGGTAAAATGACTTTGATAGTCAATAAAGCAAAAAAATAGACATTCTTTTAGTAGTTTCTGCTCTTAACCAGGATCCATCTGACACCAGTGGTGATATCCCTGGTGCCACGACCTTGTCTAAACTCAGTGTGAACTTCCGGCAGTTTTGTGTCAATGTAGAATTTTAGTCATTTTTTTATGAACTGCAGCAATACTTTGCTTACATGTTATATTAACGATATTGTTGATAATTTCTGTGGCTGAAGTGGTGGGAATGAGTGCGTTTGAAATGGCTACGTTGGCATAGGATAGAATGGCGTTTAGAGCTCTTGTACATAGGGTGGCTATGAGTCGCAAGCAACTTGATGGCACATAACAACAACAACAACAATGCTTTCAGGGCAGCTTCAACTTCTTACTTCATTGCCATTGGCTCTTGATAATATGATATTACTAAAATTTTTCAGTGTCAACCAATTGTTTTGGTGCAATGACTCTGTGTGTTCCTTCTATTTTCTTTTGATACTTCCTAGATCATTTAAGATTTTGCCAATAGCATTTCTCAGTGTTGCAACTTGAGGCTTGAATTAACTTTTCAATTCCTTCAACTTTAGATATGCCAAGTGAGTTCTTTCTTTATTCTCCAACTCCAGATTTTTACACACTCCATTAGAATACTTGTTTTATCTTCTCAAGGTACCCTTTGAAATCGGTTAATTTGTTTTTCATTTGGGCCTTACTCCCCATTGATTTGCCTTCTTGATGCTCTAGTCCATTTTTTAGAGTCTCTTCTGCCGTCCTATTTGGTCTTTTATTTCTTCTCTATATCATTGTAAGGACCTTTTGCTCTCTTCATAGATGATATCTTTGATGTCATCCTATAAATCACCTGATTCTTGATCACAAGTGTTCAATGCCGTAAAGTTATTCTGGAGATATTAAACTCAAATGGGATACACTCAAAGTCATACTTTGGTTCTTGTAGACTTGCTTTAATTTTTTTTTTTCAGTTTAATTTGAACTTACACTTGAGTAATTGATGGCCTATTCCACAATCAGCAGCTAGCCTGGTTTTGACCACTGATACTGAGATTCTCCAATGATTCCTTTCACAGATTTAGTCAGTTTGATTTCTGTGCAGTACATCATGTGTGGTGTACATGTAGTGTCACCTTTTGGGGTTTTTTGAAAGTTGCTTTTTGGGGAAGAAAATAGGATAAGAGTGGATAGATAATGACTGTTGCATTGAAACAGATAAAAGGAAGAACTAATGAAAAGGAATATATGATTAGGTGTTATACATATGACAACAGCCCAGAATAAGAAGTACATCATTGCAAAGAGGTCTAGGGGGAGGGGAGTGTAAGGTAGGTAATTGTGCAACAATGAATATTTTTTTTTAAGTGAACTAGGGGAAGGGGATGGAAGGGGAGGGTAAATACACAACAATGAATGAATGAAAATTTAATTTTTCTGTAAACATTTGTTAAAATCACATTTAAAATGTCATTAAAAAAGGTTTTTGGGATAAATTAACTATTGGATGCACAAACTTCAATCACTAACATGTCTCCAATTACTAATTATTAGAGAATTGCAAATGAAAACAGCAGTGAGATATTATTTCACCCCAGGATCAATAAGAAAGTAAGCAACAAATACTGGTAATTATAGGGTGGGATTGGAACTCTCATGCACTATTACTGGGAATGTAAAATGGTACAGTTCAATAACAAAGAGATTAATTATGGGACTCTTTCAGAGTTCTTCTTTAGAACCATTAAGTAAGAATTCTAATTCCAGACTCTAATGACAAAGCTTGCTGAAATAAACGACTAAAGTATAAGGAAATATGAATTTTAGAGCTTAAGGAGACCTTTAGATATTGTCCTAAGGGAGACAATTTAATTTTCATTGGCAAGTTGAGACTCAGAGAAGTGACGAGGTACTCTTGACATTGACCTTTGCTTTGCACTTCATAGTCTACAAATACTCGCCCATATTTTATTTAAAGTAAAATGACCTCCCAAGAATACAAAGTTCATCAGAGCAGGACACGCCTCCATCCTTCTCAGCCCTAGTTTTCTCCTCCTGTACTTTTCTGTCATTAGAACAAGGCAATAATTTGAAAACTTAGGCTAATGACTGAAATGAAGTCATGATGCACAGCCACCAGTCTATGAAGTACCTTAAAGCCATGGAACTCATAGCTCCTGAAGTCTGTAATCTTCACAGAGGACAGGCAGTTCTCCAGGTCTGAAATGTGCTTGTGTTTGTCCTTGCCCTATTCAAACATGATTAGAAACAGGATTTTTAGACATGAATTAAGAAGACAACTTTGCTAGCCTCAGCATCTCTGGATCATTCTCTTGGGCTCCTGAGAACACACTGCACATTTAGTCTATAATCCATTAACAGTTTCAAATGCATCTCTGAGTCAAAGGTACCCAAGAGCTGTCAAGCTGACTCAGCCTCACAGTATCCTCATACACATTAGAGTAGACTTGTGTTCCACAGAATTTTCAATTTTGAGTCTTCACATATAGATAGGCCTTCCCTTTGAGGTGCCTGAAATCTCTATCTAATTAGCAGCTAAGTACATTTGCACAACCAAGACACCCATAGGACCACAGAATGTTAGACCTGCCTGGAAGAGAGGTACCAAAGTCTTTCTATACTTCTTATTTCACAGTTAAAAATTTTAAAAGCACAGCCAAGTGTAGAAAAATCTTAAGAGAGAGCTTTCAAGGATCTAAGTTCTTGATGTTGGGTTCCATTGAGTTGGAACCAACTCATAGCTGATTCTCCAGCAGGTTTTCAGAGGCAGTAAATTGCACAGAATGATCCAATCTGTAGATCCAAGATGCATACCTTTGAGTTAACTGCATAATTCTTGGCATGTGGCCAGGAGGGACAGTCCTTGGAGAAGGACAACATACTTGGAAGGGTGGAGGGACAGTACAAGAGAGGAAGACCCCAGATGCGATGGAATGACAGATGTGTAAGAAAGAGTGAGCTTGGCTCAGGATAGGGGAGGGTTCAGAACGATTGAACATAGATTGCTACGAGTCACAATCAAATCAATGGTACCCACGACCACCACTACCATCACCACCACCACCATCTCTACCACCACCACCATTTATTCCCTAAAGCAAATAAATGGACTCTAAATCGAGTGCTCACCCAAATGAATGACATGAATTCCCTCATAGTTTTATTTTTCTAAATTTTAGATCATAGGAATTTAGCATTAGAAGATACTTCAAGCCTTCAGTCACTGTTGCTGTTCTTGTGAACCACTGAGTCAGAACTGACCCATTGCTGACCCTCCAGATGGTTTTCAGAGGTAGTTAATGGCATGGGAGGAGATTGCCCATCCATCTTTGAGCTGTGGACTGCGACTGCTTGCCTTCAATAGCAGTGCAGCTTTTTACCACTAGGCTCCCAGAGGTCCTCAAACCTTCAGTCATTGTCATCGTGTACCAAAGAGTTGGAACCAAACTCTAGCTGACCCTCCAGCAGGTTTTCAGAGGCAAGTTAATTGCGAGGGAAGAGATTGCCCAACCTTCTCTGGCTAAGCATCTGGTGGTCTTGAACTGTGTGCCTTTGTGATTGCAGTGGAGTTTCTTGTGACTAGGCCAGCAGAGTTTCCTTTCAGTTATAAAACCCAGAGTATTAACAGAATTTTCCCAACACAATAATTTAATGTTAAAGAATACCAGACTATTCTAGAAACCCTTGTTTCAGTAAAATGGAAATCACTCATTATTACTATAATTTTTAAAACTACTTGTTTTAAAAATCTGATTGCAAAAGTAAAACATGATTATTGTAGAAACATTGAGACACAAAGAAAACAAGAATGACCCATAATTCTCCTTAGCTTGCCACTGACAACATTTTTCCTGAGCATAGTTAAAATTAATTTCTAAAGCTTTTTCATTGTGGTTTGGGTGAAAGTTTACAGAAAAAAACAAATAAAATAAGTTTTCCACTTAATAATTACACATTTTGATTCATGACATTGATTGTTTATAATTAATTTTTAATTGGTGTCCTATTTCACATCTTTGTATAATCATCTCTCTCTTGGTTAATATATCATGAAATTTTTTCCTCATTCAATATTCTATTGCAACAGCATAAATTATTCACATGAAGAGTTCATTTTACCAACTGAACCAGAAAGAAGCTGCCAAGTAGCAATGTGGAAGGTTTTAGAAAGGCAGCTTGGATGCACTTCAAATGCATGCTTATCAGAAATAATTTTTAACTCATACAGCCTCAGGGTGGATCTATGGGCAGAGATCTAAGCTGTTTGGCAGAAGTTAATCAATTTGATGTTAACAGGAAAGAAGAGCCATGGATTATGCCCTGCTGTGAGTAGGAGGGCTGCTAGTGTATCTGAAAGGAGTGTATCTCAGTTTCAGAACATGCTAGAGAGAACAACAATAGGGCTATGGCTGCTTTCTCTGCTGTGATTCTGGTCCTGAGAGAGGAAACCTATTGTAAGCTCATTAGCTTCCCCAGTAGCAAAGGAATCTTGGAATCAGTTGGGGACCTCCTACGGCAATGAGGACATATGCCTTTTGTTGGTGTCTGAAACCATAGTGACTGAATGTTGTGGAAATAACAAAACCAGCAGGGAGATTGAAAAGAAACAGGAGGAGACAATGGAGCAGCGTTGGAGTAGGGGAAAGTGGGCACCAGCTGCCGATCCTGAAGGGCACACACTGTGGCTTTCTGTGAGGCCTTTTGATCAGCCTCTTGGCTAGAGCTTTTGGTGGGGCTCTCATTAAGGAGGGAGGAGACATTCTCCTTCTAATGAGAAGGCCACATTAACTCCTCAGAGCTGCGGGCCCATTTTAGGGCCTTGTTCTTTGCCAGGGTGGCCTTGGCTGGGAGAGGTAAAGAGAACTTTTATAGGGTTTTAGGGGCAAAGAAAAACAGTAATTTAAGATTCAGCCCAGAGTCTCAAATATAGTGACTACAAGGTGGGTGAAGTGAAAGTCTTTGGGAGGCAATGGTGCCAAGGAACTGTGCTATAAAGGAAGGTTCAGAATACACCAAAATCACTTCGATTGAATCAATTCAGATTCAATGATTCACCATTGGGCTCAAGAGGCTGTAAATCTTAATGAGAGGAAACCAAATATCTTTCTCCCTCGCATCTTCTGCTAGTTTCAAACGACTGCATGACTTTTTGGTTAGAGCAGCATATAATGTACCACATGCTCCACCAGAGCGCCCAAGGGGAAGTTAAGGCTAAAGATAAGCATTGAAGAGTAACTAACAAAGCTGCAGCTTTGCCTTGATGAGAACAGATCAGATCTTTGTGAACTCTGATAGAAAAAGCGAGGAGTCTCGACGTCTGGTTACAGGAAACCTCATAGTTGGAGGAGCAGTGGCACATTATGACTGAAACACTCGGGGTTGAAATTATGCTCTGCCACTTACAAGCTCCGTGACCTTGGTCAAGGGTCTCAACTTCTCTACTCCTCAGTTTCTCCATCTGTAAAGTGGTGAGAAAGGAGCAAATGCAACGTGAGGTGGCAGTGGTAGAGTCTGACTTCTAAACACTTCATAAAGGGAAACTGTTCCTATCAATAATATCCATAGCAGCAAATAGATATCTATTATATCAGACACGCCACCTCCCATGCTCCACCTATTTCCACTAATCACTGGGTTAGAGATTTGTTGTTCACTCATAGAGTTTACTTACGGCTGTGGTACTGAGAGTGAGCTTTATTAGTGAAATAGGTTGGGACATGGGAAAGGCAAAGAATATCTTACAATTCAAGTCCAGATTAATCCAGCAGTCCCAAAACAGACTAACAGCAAAATACAATTTCTTAATAGTCAAAGTCCTGGTTTCAGTTCAGCAACACAAATTCAAGAAGGCACTGGTTTCATCAATCATCCAGCAAGGTTTTCCCCAGAGCAGCTATAAGTCAGTTTCTCTTTCAATCATACGGCAAGAACATCAAAACCTTTAACTGTGGCCTTTATCTCAGGGCTCGTCTGATTACACCTTGCCAGGATCTCCCTACCACCATCATTTGGGTCTTGCTCTCACCAAGCTCTCACTCCACTCTCCTTCAAGTCCTGTGGCCCAGTGTGGAAAACACTCTTTTTCTTATCCTACAGCTATTGATGATTTGGAAGACCATGTGCCTGCAGTTAAGGTAGCTGGAGACCAGAGAGGGTAATGTAATGGCTAGAAAAGCCAACTTGGAAGCTAACACTGCAAGTGGGTTAATAATATTACCCACCTTGTTGGTGCACTGTGAGAATTAATGAGTTAATGTATGCAAATTGTGACACAGGTAAACAGAATCACATGTGAACAGAAAGTGTGACTGGCAACATGGTAAACAAGAGAAACATGTCAGCATTTATCACTACTATGTTCTTGGTGGTTGAGAAGGAAGAAAGAAAAGAAGGGAGAAAGATAAGGTCTAATAGAAGAAAAAGAGGGAGGAAAGGAAGAAGGAAGAAGAAAGGGAAGGAAGAAGGACAGAAGAGAGAGTGAAAAGAAGGAAGAAGTTAAGGAAAGGAGGATGTGATGGAAGGAAAGAAGATAAAGAGGAAAGAAAAAGGGAAAAGAGCAAGGAAGGAGCAGAAAAATTCTGCAATGGTTTGGGAAAATGTTGTGAGGAGCTGTCAAGACAACTAGAACTCACCATCACTCTGTGAATAAACTGCAGCCTCACTTGTCTTGTGCCATCCCCAAGGTCTCTGCTACACTCTTTTGGGAGAATAAAACTTGGAAATGTGTTTTTCTGTTGTTGTTGCTGTTATGAGACTTTGAGTCGACTGTGACTCATAGTAACCTGATGAACAGATGAAAAGCTTGCCCTGTCCTGCACTATCCTGAGGATCTCTGCCATGCATGTGTTCGTTGCATTAATGTCATTTACGTAGATAAGGATTACTTGATAATTTAAACAGAAAAGACAAAGGGAAGGAGTTGAGGGGTCCAGTATAAGGGAACCAGATTTCACCTCCTTGTGCAAATGAATGTTAAGAAAATGAATTCTGCTCCTTGCAGGTACATGAAAACATCTTGTCATTTGGCTAAAATTGTATTTTGTCTACACGTGTCTCTGTGTTTGCCAACAGTGTGCCATTTAGCACTTTTTGCCCCCGTTTTATAGGTTGATCCCACTGTCACAACTGTGAATGATAACAGATGTTTTAGGATCCTAAAGATCTTGTCCAGTGCTTGGCATATATAACAAGCGAGGCAGACTGCTCCATTACAG